TTACGAATATAGTAATCTATGTAATACTAGCACAACATCGAGCATCGATGTATTCGTAACATTCCTACGTTTCTATTTATATAAGAAAAATTGTTATTTAGAAAGATTGTAAAAATTATATACGAGCATAATTGTATTAAAAATTTCATATTTTTATTTACCAAAAAATTACACTAAAAAAAAAAACTAGGAACTTTTAGCTTGTTTTTTTTTTCACCAAGCACGAGCAAACATGCATCTCGCCGACAAGTGGTGAGAACTCATAAACGTCAACAGCATCATTTAGCGAGCATCTGGAGCAGAGTTTGAAACGACTCGAATGAAGTGAAAGCAACACGAATCATTCTTGCTGGTCGGCTGGTTGCCTCGTTTCCGAAAATTCTCGAAGAAAAGTCCCCCGATAGGAAGCTTCGCGTGTTTTTCCGAAACAAAGGTGGCGAGAAGCGAAATCTGGACTTTGTTGCATCGTGCAACGAAGACTCGTTAATTAAGACGGCCGGACGACAACGACCGGTGGATACGCGGGACGAAAGTAATTAATGAAAGTAATGAACGCTGGGAGAACGGGGGCGAATTCATTGAAGGCGCAAAAGAATTCACGCCCGAAGAGTTCCTAACGGACACCGAATGATAATTAAAATACCGTATCGCGCGACGTGGTAGAGCGACCGCCGTCTACGTTGAAAATGACTCACCCACCCCTCGAGAATAGTTTGGCGAAACATTTTGCTTCACATCGATGGAAACAGGGGAAAGAAGAGATGCATGTGAAAACGCGGAAAAATCGCAGATGTAAACGACTTCGAGAGTACGCGAAGGGGTACAGTTTCGACGAAGAGTCTCGGCAGACTGAAATCCACCAATCGCGATTTCAAAAGCCGGCGAGGATTTCAGAGGGCGAATTTTTTTTTTTTTTTTTTTCGAATCGCGGACGAAACGTCGAACACAGTCTCTGCAAAAGCCGTCAATTACGCGCGGCAACTGCCGCGTATGAGAGTGGACTTAAAATT